TAAGTCCATTTTGAGTAAAATGCAGTTGCCGACTCCAGCTGTTAAGTAGGAAAAGGTCAGCTAAAACTTGCATTCTTTGCATAGTTTGATTTAGCAACCAGTTGAGAGGTTGAAGTACCACTTCATTGCTGTTGACAGCCATAAAGACAGGCCAGAACTGTCTTTTTTTTTTTTTTTTTTTGATATTACTTTTTCTGCTTTATTTGGTTGCATCCAAACAGCTATTGGTGGCAAAGTTTTAGATAAAAGCCAAACGCATACTTATCTTTGCAGCAATGGAAGTATTGCACGGAGACTAAATAAAATTATTGTAAATCAAAACTACTCTCTCATTAGTCACTTTTCAAGTCTTAGAAGCATAGAAGAGTCAGCTTGGTCGCTCTAAAGCTTCCATTAATGCAAACTACAGCCACCTTCCAATTCCCCCCTCAAGTACTGTACAGTCAATAAATTGCATGCTCTTCTGTTGCAGGCATCATTTACGTATTCATTGGTTTTATCAGTACCAAAGATAGTAAGCTGCAATTCTAGAGAATCAACAACAGATCAGAACTCTAGGCAGACTTCACCACCCGCACTAAACCTCAGACTGCAGCAGCTCTGTTGCTGGCATCCAAATTCAATGCTAGTACAGCCACAGCACTAAGCAGTGAAACCTCTCCTATTCCTGCTAGTGACTACCATAAACCATTGGTGCTCCAGATATTCTTTCCTAACCTTCATCCTCCCCACTTACTACATTTCCCCCCCAGATACAGAAAAGGCATCAATACTTTTAACCACATGAGTACTTTTTAATCACAACCCACCTATACTGACCTTTTCAGAGTCAGGACAGTCTGAGGTGTTCATCTTTCAGGTATTATTAGACACATAACACAGACATATTTGCCACCTTTGGACAATGTTACTAGCTGAAGTGACTTGTAGACCTATGGTGTATGCATGCATCTACCACAGCCTGCTGCTGTCACACTGGTGCAAAAGCAGTCTGGTATGCTCCCCAACAAGAAAGAGAAGTCAAGGGCATAGCAGTGTTTTAGACATGCACGCACAGGTACGTTTAGTTCAATTTGGCTTTTTAGAGACCTTCAAAAAAAAAATCTATACTTAAAATAGTTTTGATCCCAAAACCAAGCATATAGTTAAAGCTACACTTCCTGACTGACTAGTATGCTGAAACATCAAATGTTTAAACCTCAAGATATATAAAAAAAAGGCAAAGAATAAACCACCCCCCAAAAAACACATACACCATCATATATCCCCCCCATACCTTCTTTGATCAGATACAAAAAATATATATATATTCATTAGAAACTCTTTAGCCAAACATGGAACTTCAACTATATCAAAGCCAGCCAAAAATACCACCCAAAGTGGTATTTGTCACCCAGAGTGACAAATTGTTTTTATAAAACCTCATTTATCATTACTTTTTTTTTCCCCCCTTTATTGAAGAGCCTCCTTTTAGAAGTTTGTCATTGAAAAGGCATATGTCGATATGCCTCAACTAAGGCTGCACAATTAAGCTCCCATAGCCTTTCCACACAGACGAGCCAGGTCTCAACGTTGGACATGACAGAGTTCAGTGACTCGCAGCCTGGTATCAGTTTACTGAGACAAATGCTAAGAGTAGCACACAATTTAAGAAGAAAAGCACAAACCCACTGGTAGAAAGCTGCAACTCAATTTGGCAAATTAGCACCTGAAATGTCCTCAGCATCGACCCACTGTAACAAAAAGCAGTGCCAAATTTACAAATGCTTTTTACTTTTCTGACTCTTTTTGTACCTACTACACTAAAAAGGGACTTTTGCAATATTTACAAGGGGAGAAGTCTTTTCTTCCTCATCACAACTGGAACTTGGATGCACAATAAAATTACTGTGTGTCCGTGGTTCTGGAAGTTTAATCTAACTCTATCTAAAGCTCAGGCTAAAACTAATGAAAGTCAGACTTTTCTTAAAAAAAAAAAAAAAAAAATACCAGTTCCTATTGATTTATCATCTTGACACAAAAACTGCAGTGCTTTTCAGTGCAATTAAGAAAGCAGTATTTAGGAGGCTTTTAATCACAAGCACTTTAAAATACCGTCTAGTAATACTATTACATGTGTTATGCTTCTAAAATAGTTTGAGCCGCTTCAGGACACTTGATAAAGCCACACTGTTAGGGGAAAGACATTACTCTCAGGTCTATCTCCCAACATTAAATGATTCAAGCAGAAGCATCTCTCTGTCTCTGTGTGTGCAATTACACTATCTTCCAACTACAACTGAAGTTTATGTAGATTTCCTTGAGCAGTTATGTGGAAAAGTTTTTACCTTGCATGAAGTAACACTGAAGTTGAGAAGTTCCTGTAGGATACTCTCCAAAACAGTGCATAAATTAATGATGACATTGAATTGCAGTGTAATATTTTTGTTTTAAGATGCTAAATACTTTCTATGACTTCCTTCAGGAATATTATTTCATGCAACTAAAAAAAAAAGAAAAATACACATATTAATAAATATAGCAATGGAAATTAAGATGAAAATAAAGTCTTAAGCACAGAAAAATCTAATGAAGACTTCTCTTCCCCACTCAAAAAAGAGACTGGACATACATTAAAGGTGCGAGTATTGTATTTTCCCCCAATGAGCTTTAAGTACGAGTTGCTTCTTTTTGTGTTCTGTTAAACTATCAGATTCTCCCTCCATTATGTTAGACATTAACAAAGTCTAACATTAACATAATAGCCAGTAGTAGCATAAAAAGACACCACTGATCCACAGTTGTTTGCTTTTACTGTTTTTCAGCAAAGCATTTATTTTAATAATGAAAACCCACACACACTGATATCACTTTTATTTTTCTGCATTTTGACAACAAAAGTGAATGTCATTACAGTTTTCTATAGGATGGACACAAATTTTAACTACTTCGATTACTCAAAAGACAGGTTTAAGAGAGGAAAAAAATCTTAACAGAAAGAAAAACTATTGCTTTGCTACCAGTTACCGACTCTATCCCAAAGCTCACAGAAAGAAAAGCTTTTCCCCATGGCTACGGTCTAAGCATTTATGTTTTACCTATAGCAAAAAGGTATAGACTACATTAACTAAAGTCCTCAGCTTTTCATAAGTAGCACTTTAAGAGTAAAAAGAGAATTATTGCAATTTTGTACTAAGCCATGAGACCAAATATCTGTATGCTACAGACCTAAGCACATCAAAATGTATACATTCATGTGAAGTTGTTGCTTATCACTCTTCATTGGTAGTAGTGAAGTCAGCTGCTCATTCAACTAATTACACAATGTAGAGTATTTCAGCATGCTTCCACTGAGATAAACATTCAACTGCATGAAAGAGTAGTAAATCTCACCTTAAAAGATGAAACTGTAGCAAAAAATGCAGCAATGCCCTCTTCATATAAGGATAAGACTTCATATGGAATTTCCACGCTTTGAGAAATACCTCTCTACATGAATATTTAAAGATAGTAATATAAAGCTGTGATGGAAATACCTTGCTTTTAAACAAAAACTGCTAAATTTGGAATTTAGAGTTACTCAAACCACCTTGACCCCAAAAGTATTTTAGTAGCAAATTATATTTGATGCAAATTTTATTTTCCACACATATTGCTAATAAATAAGTTCCTCTAAGACATGTTGCCAATTAGTTTTCAACTCCTACACTATAAGTACTAAAATGAAGTGATACACTAAAAAAAAGTTACGCTTAAACAGAGTTACTAATATGATGCTAAGACTTTCACAGAAATGCAAACAAGTTTACAGTTACATTTACTAAAAAATTACAGTAATCTACAGAAAAGGTTATCACTGTACTCTCCCTACATGCTAAAAGATCAAATGCAGTCATACTGTTACTGCAAAAATGTATTTCCCTTTATTACCTGTGTTAAAATCCTCCTCCACTATAATCTATAGAGACAGAAGTACAACCTCTTTTCTGTACAAAGAAAAAGCTTAAAAAAGGGACACAGCTTCACATTTTACTACAATTTTGCCCTTCTCAGCTTCAAAGTTTTTGCAAAAACAAATATACAATTTTTCAAGAATGAATTTTTAAGGATGTCCACATTAAAAAAATAAAGCCTACAAAAAGTTCAAGATCTAAAAAATGTTACTCTGATGGCAAAGTGATCTCCTACTAGTCCAAAGTCCAGTTAACTGATGTCCATTCATATTATCTTGCTTCATTTATTCAATTTACTGGGTTCCAATCACATTATCTGAGGGTAGTCCTTGGGCCGATGAGAGGGCAGGAGAGTTGTGTACAATTAAAAATAGGAGATCGAACCGGGCGTGCCTTTCTGAAAGATACTCATTTGGCACCTTCCCCAGAGGGAGGATTCAGATATTTAGAGAAAGGATTTCCTTGATTTGTTTCCATAGATTGGTAGATTGAAAACAAGAAGAGCGAAACAACAACAGCGAGAAGAATTTTTATCCACAGGGGAATGGAGCGTTCTTTTACTGGTGGCTTCTCCGCCTTGATGTCTGTTGTGGTACCATATTTTGGAACATACTTTGAAGAGAAACTTTCCTCCATTCTGAAGTCACTGGGCTCTATAGGCCGGCTAGCAGCTCCTTTGATGGGTCTACGGCAGCTAGCACTGTTAATAAAAAAAATATAATTAATTGCAAATGTAAGGGAGCAAGCTAAGCTTTATAGGAAAATTTTAGTGCTGCCACTCCCAGCAACTGGAGTACATGAAACACATTTCATAACAACTTATCAGTTGTAATGGCATACATGCTGAAGTTAATGATTTAGTGCCCACCATCCCCTTTCACTCTTCTTCCCCCCAGAAAAGAAAAAACAAACACACCACATCCAAAAGATGTCCCAAACCCTAGCATCTTTGAAGTCTTATGTGCCAGCTTACTTCATCCTGTCCACATATTCACTGAATCATGAATGGAGATAAACTCTAGAAGTATTTTTCATCTGTCTGCATTTTTACTCATTATATACCTAGTCATTCAGGGATTTCTAAGCTGGTTTATATTAGCCTAAGCCCTTAAAAACACTTACCAGTAATTAAGTCAATATGCAAACTCAAAGACAAAGTGGTAAGTATTAAGAATTCCTTTTAAGTTGCTTTGTCCTTATGCGCAAAGGACACATACAAAGAGTGCCACATATACAAGAGTGGCATAGATTTAACTACTGATAAATCCAAAACAAGAGAAAACAAGAGAAAAATCCAAGTGGGGAGAAGATACTACACAGAAGCTGGTTCCAAACTTTCTTATACTTACAGAATTGCAGATTACACTGAAATGAAAAGCCAACTGGCATGTCAGAAATGACTGAGATTTGATTTCTCATTGTCTATCCCGTTGGAAACTATCCTCATATGTTCTTACTAGTGATAAGTCAAGGTTTTGTGAAAAAAGTTACAGTAGAAAAATGCTTAATTACCCGTGGGATTGGAAGGTGAATGCTGTTTCATTTATGTTTAAGTACAAAGGTGTAAAGAACAGCAGCCCTTCCTAAGTGCTGCCCTTACTGACATTAAGTAGTCCTTAACTGCCATAGGACTATTAAACAGAGGTACTTGAGAAACCTTTGACTTCTGAAGAACCTGAAATCTATGCTGGAAGATGTTTCCTTAATCCAAGAGTTAGTCTAACATTAAAAAAACTTAAATATTGTGAAGAAAACCTCTTCCCATTCAAATTACTAGAAAGTAAGTTAAGAGGAGCCCTTCCTAACCTAAACAGGTTTACAAGAACTTATTAACAAATAATTCCTCCGCCCAACCCCAATAAGTCTCAGTAATACCTAATTCCTGTAGGTGTTGATACTTCATAAGGGAACAATTCCTTAAGAATATCCCTCTCTACTTGTTTTTCTTCTGTATGAGTTGTCTCCAGCACCTAGAAAAACAAGAAGTTATAGGGCTAAGCAATTTAAAACAATACATTCCTGCATAGCTATCTGTAACCTCAACCAGGTGCATTTTTTAAGGAAAAATGACGGTCACCCAGTGACATTTAAGAAGCTTGTTTCATGGGTTTTAAAAGTGGGTTTAACTATTGCCACTAGCATCTGCCTGGTCGCTTTTGGTATCATAATGCATTCAGTACTCTCCTCAGTTTCCTTTAAGATAAAAGAGTTTTTTGCATATATAATGAACACATCTGACAGCCAGTGATCTAGATGATCAAAACAACTTAACCATCATGGCTGTGTTGTCATCACAGGACTGTTTGTGGCACCAACATGATTAAAAACACTGATGGCAGTCTGCCTCTTCTTGCTGTAAGAAACAACGCTGCAGTAAAACACTAACTGAAGAGACTCACGCAACGTGAAGTAGCAGAACACCAGGTTTTCCCCATGCACTTTCTCTGACATTTAAGTCAGAACTGCAGGTGCTTTTTAAATGAAGTAGCCCATTTTATAAAACAGAAAGATCCGGTAGTAAAGTAGCCTTCTCAAGTGTTAATGCAATTTCTATCTTTCATAACTATGTGAAACAATGAACTCCATCTAAATTAGACCAAGAATGATTTTGCATAATTTCAAAATATTACAGTATTGCAAATATATATTTTTTATTACTTGTAAGTGGTTTTGACAATTTTCTAGGGGAAAAAATCATTTCGAAAGCTTAAAGAAATATTCTACTTTCTCAATAACTGACAGGAACCTACTTGCATGCTTTTTAAATTCAGGCTTTTCATGTAAAATAGTCCTGCTATTCGATTTCCTAAATTAAGACAAATTACAGTTCTTCAGGATAGGCTGTTTTACAAGAGCAAAACCATATAACCCAGTTTTGCTGTCAGAGCTACTAAAACAATTTAAAAGCAAATGTGACATTCTGTATGGAAAAGAGAGCAGCACAAGCAGCCACAACACTCCAAAACATACTTGGCTTTAAAAAAAAAAAAAAAAAAAGCAAGATTTTTTCCCCTTTGCAAGTTATAAAATCTGGAAGAGGAAGATAAAATAAGTTTACATTCTCCATTTATGTTATATGATAGTATAGTTCAGTTTGACTAGCATGTCACTCAGGCAAGGACACCCTCCACCCCTTCTCTTCTGGTCAGTAAACACATACACGAGAGCCTCATTCACAAAGAGTAAGCAATAGCAATCTATGTTTTAGAGTTTATTTACTTCAGCTGTCATCAGTGGTTTCTTTGGTGTTCTTCTGGGCATGTCTGAGAACTCACTGATTGATAGTGTAGGAGCTGCATGCTTGAAATTTCCGGATACCCTATTGACAACCTGCCGAGATTCAAAATTTTTCAAACTCAGAATTAGCCAAAATACAAGATGGGGAGGGGAGGTGGGAGGGGGGAAGGAGGGAGAAGAACCAAACAATAATACCTTTATGTGCATTGAATATATGCATGTTAGGAGTTAACTCACAAAGGTTATGCAACAGGTATCAAAATAAGCATAATAAGCACACTGCTTGGCATTCCAAGTAGTTTTTTAATCCCTTTAGAAATGCAAAAAACTGTTTAGTTCACAAGAAAACCAAGCTTAAAAGCAGATATTCTGCACATAAATAAATGAAAAGATCTAAGCTTTTACAATAGTTCTCCTCAACCCTCCACCCTTAAAAGACACTCGATGGGACCTAGGTGCCCACTAATGAATATAAGAGTGTTTTAAAGAAATTGTTTAACAGAATGATTCTGTCAGTAAACATAAACTACAAGAGAATATCATTTGCATACTTAAAGTATATTTACTAAGCATATTTACTAGGGTCTCGTTGCTTGCCGTCAGTACAGTTTCAGCTATGGGAGTACTCTCTGATATTACAGCATCATCTACAGGCAAATGTGCTATAGCGTCCACCTGTTTGTTTAAAAAACAGAAGAAAACAATTGAGTAAAAAATTGCCACTGGGACCTAGTAGTGAGGGGAGGAGGGAAGGGTCTATTATAAGCCTCTCATCACCCTTTTCCTTGGTGTTCTTCTCGACACTCTTGTAGACTCCCTAGAAAATGCCTGCAGAGGTCCACTTTTGGAAGATCCACTTGTCCAGACAGTCTCAGTAACTCCATCTTGAGAATAGGTCTAGTCAAGCATCAAACACATTATCAAACACATGAAAGCCAAGTCTCAACATCCGATACCCATAACCAAAAGCCAAGTAGCATGCATATTGCAGAAGCAGTGTGTCTACAATCCAAAAAACCACCTTGGATTCTAGTACATTCAGTAATGTATAGACCACTAGATCAGTATTGTTGAGCGCAACACTTATCTTGAAAGCATTATTTTCCTCAAAAAAGAGCATATAATGCACTATCATAAAAACAGAACTGACAATCTGCTCATAGTAGCAGAGTGGAAGAGCTTGTTTTCTTGAGTACTGTACATGTCAACTTTCAGTCACATTACATCACCTGTCTACAGACAAAAAAAAATAAGTCTATAAGCACATGCTAAAAGCATCATCACAATTCTCAATCCAGATAAGAGTGTCTTTTCACAAGTAGAGATAGGAATGGTTTAGACACAACCAACTGCATTTCAACAGGACCTAATTTCCAGCCAGCTTGAGGGGGGGAAGGAGTAGACACTTAACTTGCATACATGTTCTAGTCTTAAAAGTATAATCTTAACTCTGTCTGGAAATAAATTTCATTTCATTGTGGGGGTTTTCAAGTGGTCAGTCTGAAACAGGTTAAACTGTGAAATGTGAATGAATGAAGCATCTGACAGTGCCTTGTTTTGAGTTCCCTACTTGTATCTCCAAATTACTCTGACTAAACCAGAAGGTGAGCAACTTTTAAGATTCCATATACATGTTCCATATGGTAGCTACTACCTACCCAGCAGAGGGAGCACAAGTGTTTTGCTTTGCTTTCAGGTCACTGAAATGACCTTACTTTAGCTATCATCTACTACTTCTGTTCCATGCTTTCATCAGGTGTACGCCACAGAACATTTCAACATTTGTATTTCATTTATATTTCAAAGTGGCCCAGCTATCCAAGTAGCCATAAAAACAAGAAAATGGGAATATAGCACATCTAGAATGGCACTCTACAAAGTCTCCATAGGAGGAAGTACATCTACATTGCAGGACTTTTTAGCATTTAAGTGGTCTAGCTGTCCTCTTTCCCCAGTGCCATCCATCATGAGACCTTAACCTCATTGTTTTGCTCTAAGTCCATATCTATGCAAACAATTTGGAAGGGACCTTCAAATACAGTTTTCACTCCAACGTTTCCAGTTCACTGTGAGGTGGCAACTAATGCACTAACAGCTGAGCTCACATTCATCCAGCCCTCTTGCTACCTGACTGATAAGACTCACACAACTGTCCAGCATCCCAAGTCCCTGGACAACAGTCTGTTTAAAGCCTTTCTATTTGCACTCCTAAGAGAAAGAGCACCAATCTTAATCAGTGCCAAATCTATAGTTAAGAATCAGGTGACATGGACAGAATCCTTTCAGCTCTGCATGTCTGGGCTAATGCTGTAAAGAGCCTAGAAGCAGCATGCTGGTCTGCTCGTACCACAGTATCAACAAACTCAGCCCCAGTGCTTGTCAGAGCCTTACAGCCTTTCAGCCGGACCACACAGTGAATGGGGGTAGATGCAACTCTAAAAAAAAGTAGTCACCTGACAAGATATAGGTGTCACGTTAATATCCAACTTCAGACACACACACGCACAATTATCTTTCACTCATCTTTCTCCTTTCATCTCAGCAAAATATACAGCTATTTATTTTAGCGCATTTGTTACATGAAAACATGAGTTCTGTGCTTCCTAGAGTCTATGCAGTTGTAAAACTGCACAGTAATCAGGTTGGTTTTGCAAACTGGGGAGTTCCTGAAGAATCTGACTCTGTAAAGATCTTATTTGAGAGTAAACTGATACTCCTTTAACCACTTGTGTATTACATTTGCAATGTTTCAGAGCTTACATGTTCTAATTACATGTAAAAGGTTGCAAGAGAAAACAGAATAATAACTGTTATTACAATAAAATTGGTTAATAAAAATTGACTACTGCACTGATTGAACACTGACCACTTCAAAATGCCACAGGGGGCACAGGGAGGAGCACGGGTAGAAGGAATAGCTGTAATGATCTAGGTATATTCCAAAGAATTAAGAAACTTAATTTATTGATGGCCAAATCAAAACACCTCCACCATACTGAAGCTGACAGGAGCTTCTAGATGAATGGCAATTTAGAAAAACACAATTCTTAGACTATATCCTAAGGTTCAGATGCCCATTATAAAGACTACCTTGCATGGAAGTTGCTTCAATAAGAATATATTCCATGTTCTATGAACCATACCATTTGATAGAAGTGAAATCAGTTCAGTTTGCAGTCCTAAGAATCCAATTAAAAATGAACAGAAATCTTCCATAACTTTGTTTTATTCCTCAAGCTCAGAGCAGGATGCTGCCAGCTTTAAGAGACATTCATAGCATGTGCATGCTTATGCACACACATACCCTCTAAGAAGGAAAGATCTAGCATTATTTGTCACTGCTTTGTAGTATGATAAGTTGTGGAAATGCCTCAAACTATTAACAGATCAGATTTTAAAACCCTCTAAAATGTTTTCTAGGCAAGCCCATAATGCAGCACAATTTCACAATTTATTGGTCAGACTGAACAATACTGTAATGATATCAGTAATCTAACTGGGCCATAGGCTATTTAGTGACACTGTCACATAAGGACAGATCAACTAATTCCAATATTCAGTCAGCACTTCCAGTAATTAAGGTGCTTCTGCAAGATTCCTCCTTCAAGAGGACAAGGGAACTAATAACACTGTATTTAAGTTAAGGACAAAGAGTGAGACTTGAAAAGATTGCTTTTTACATGCAAACTGTTCAACAACTTAAAGTCTGCTCCAAGTACCACTGCTACCAGTATGCTTGGGGATGAAGGGCACAGTTGGGAAAGGGAGACACCCCTATTTTTTTTTTCCAGTCTTCCTTTGAGAAACTGTTACTTTTGCTGAATTTACTTGTTTACAGATACACAGCAAGGACATCCATTCTCTTGACTTAAGCTGCCAGGTTTCCAAAACTTAACTGTTAAGTTTCCCTAGAGTTTCCCAGTAAGAGCTACTGCAGAAGCTAGCAAACCACACAGCTTTCAACATTCAGAATAATGGTCTGCTATCATACAAGCAACATTAGACAAAAAGTAGCTATAGAGTTAGTTCACTTTTTTCTTCATGCTGTTATTAAAGCAAGCTTTCTAAAAAACACTTGCTACCAAGAGCACAGTCCACTTAATCAAATTTGGTTATATCAAAAGGTGATTAGTGAGTATAGCTGCGGTTAGTAGCTATTCTAGAAAGCCACTACAACAAACATACCTGGTTGTGTTCAACAACTCTTCTCTGTTTGAGCCCTACTGGAGCTTTTGTCTTGGCTTTTAGTGGTTCTCTCTTCTCAAGCCTCAGCTCAGTCTTTGGATCTGGGAACAAAGAAAACCACCATTACTTTGACAGTTGAAGACACCAAAATAATTCAAGAACCTGCTTGTCTTTTTACCCCAAGCTTTCATGTAATCATGTAACCTACAATATTACTGGTGGTTGTGTTAACGTAAACCAACCTGTACACTTTGATAGAATTCATTAAGAGCCAACATTACTTTGCTATGGAAAAATGTTTACAAAAAGTGAAATACAAGTGAGTTCCACTGAACAGGCAAGAATAAAGTCTTCTGTATAATCTAAAAATAAATAAATAAATAAAATACTTAAATATACTAGTTTTGATAAAAACACACACATTGACAAGTTTTGACTAATTCAGAAGTTAAATTTAGAAATTGTTATGAAGTTGTAATTTACTTTAAAAGGGCCATTATACTGTTTCATTTTGGTAATGGGACTGAAAGCTTCCAACTCATATCAAGATTTTCAGCTTTATTTCCTTCCAACATAGGTACTTTCAAATAAAACTCCTTTTTGAATCAAAGGAAGAGCAAGTGGTCATCAGTCATATTACCAGTAAGATGATGTATTATCCATCACACCCTTTTAAACTCTAATAGCATTACACCAAGAGATTTAAACTTTAGTTATTAAGGACTCTTCGCTTCTTAAGCACACAGGTATATAGAACCTGCTGTCCTACAAAAAAAACTCTCCCTCTATCCCTAACTTTTCAGTACTTTAAACATGCGTAAAAAAAAAATTCAAAACAAAGTTTTGGACAAGCGCAAATATAAAAAGCAGATTAAGTACTGAAATTCCTATTCTTACTTCAACTTTTCCTGTCCCATGTCCAGGGAAGTATTTGACAAAACACACACACACAAAAAAAACAGACATACACAAAAACATCTACATTTCAAATCTATACTCTTCCCCCCGCCCCATACACAAACCCCAAAACACCCAATCTCAAACCAAGTCCAAAAAGAATATAGCATAAAAGAGTTAAGTCCTGCACAAAATAAATTTTATTCATTTTTAGTGTCAGACTGTGCCTCTAGATTTTAGAATTTCTTCTGCTGCAACAACTGTTGATATAACGGAACATTTGGAGCTCACATTTGAGCTCCACCTCAGTCTTACCTTCCTCATTGTCACTGTACTGGTCAGAATCGTTATTTCCATTCTGCCTGGTGTTCTCAGCAGATGAGGTGACTGTGGGGAGAGGCACAGCAGACTTCAGCTCTGGACCATGTTCCATCAGCTTCAACAGCTTCTTCTCATAAAGTTTCCTGGTAGTAGCTGCAAAGAGGAAGGATATACACTAAAGCTACATACTGAAGACATGGCTTCCTGACTTAACTACTACATCTTTGGAATCTGCAAGAGTCAGCACATATGCTATGTTTTCAGGCAGATTCCACTGGAATCCTGGAATTACTTTCTACCCCCTTACCTAACATCTACCCGTTTTGACTTTTTACTCCCTCCCACCCTCATAGTTTGACCTTTGCCACATTAGCAAATTCAGTCCAACAAGCAGAGTTTGTGCAAGTGAGCAAAAACAGAACAGCAACTAGCTGTTACATTGCTCCACTTGGGCTAATGGAAGACTTAAGACTAGAAGGCATAAAGTCTAGTCTAGCACGTAATTCCATGTCAGGACTAATCTGGCAAACTTTTGCAGAAGTCACTGATATCTGAATTGTTAGCTACAAAGAAGTTTAACTGTATTTGAAATCTTCCAAGAGGAAACTCCTTTTAAGAAAGTGGCAGTATCTCACAAGATAGACTATACCCTGTAAGAACTCACTTCTAATGATCTCAAAATTTGGGGATCTTTCCAGTAAACGGTATAGGTGTTTGAAATTTTCAGGCATCTTATTCAAATGCTATCCAGCAGAAGCTGGCAGAATGAGAAGTCATACAAATAATACTTCATGTTAGCTGTTCCTGTAAGTCTGACTCTAGATAATCTATCATAATACTCCAGACTGCACCCCTGGCTCAGTATGTGAAATATACTCCACAAAAGGATTAGCATGCTACAGGAAGCCTTCATCTGCCAAAGAACTGTGAAATCAAGGCACAAATGTAGTATAAAATCTAAGAGATTAGGAGCTCTGATCCCACATCACAAGGTGAGTGCCTAAAACGAGAGCCTAAGCTGGATACAGGGCTTCTCCCTAGCTCACCTGGTGACGTTAGCTACAACACAAGATGGGGCACAAGACTGAGGGGTCGTAAAGATTAAGGAAAGCAAAACATTACTGCACAGTGCAGTAAGGAGCACGCTAAGAATTTTCCCAATCTTCTCAATTCTATTATGTTATTAGATGAAATGTATTCAGGCCCCAGATCTCAAACTCTGTATCAGAAGGCCATATTACTCCAGAACTGAACTTCAGTAGTTACCCAACTTCAGAACAGAGGTTGGGACATGTCCAGCTGGCACAGAACACAAAAGGAACAAACTGAACTTGCCTACACAGCACTGCTTCAAGTCTTTTCTATGCAAGATAAGAAGTCCAGTGAAAAAAAATAAAACAAATGGAAAACAAAATTGCCACAGCTTTGGTACTAAGCTTAATAAGCAGTCCTATCAGAGAAGCTCAGAGTACTCAGAGCTGAAGTTTAGAGATATATAAAACATAATATATACACATACAATATATCTACATACACTATTGCTAGTTCAGTTGACCTACCTACAATTGGGCCAGGATTTATCCCATATTTCATAAGTTGCTCTTGAAGATCTTCATTGCTGAGCTCCGTTACATCGAGGTTATCCTTCTCCTCTGGCCGGGGTTTGTCCGTTTTCTTCGTGGCTTTCTGTATGGGAGGAAAAAAACCTGATTCTAGTTAATTCAGAACACATACGTCTCTTCTGAGATCACAGCAAGGAATCAAAGTCCTAACCGTAACAGAAGGAAAACTACATTCTCCCCCTGCTATACCGCGGTAAAGCCCATGTGAAGCACTTCAATATTGTGCTCTAATAAACAAATGTGCACACGTTTCATAATTCTAAAATGAAACACCCATTACAAGCCTCCTTGTACCAAAGGTCTTACCCTGTCCTATGTTTAAATTTAAACTCTAAGAATGTGACATGACAGGATTTCTTTCCTACAGCTGGAGAGCTAAGGCTTTGGAAATTTCTTTAGAAATTTTCTGGACTACACCTGAAATCCAAACAAAGAATCATGCCTGTATTCTAAGACAGTAAGGACAAATCCCTTGCCACAGCTGCCAAGTTTGACACCAGGTAAACACTTCTTTGAAAGACCAGAAGGGCTTGCCATTACTACTCTAAATTATAAAATATGTTCCATTTGCATTTCTTCTTCTACAACCTAGTAGGTCAACACTTCTTCCTCCAACACTATTTAATACTATTTAATGGTATCCACATTCTCACAGAGTTTCCAGTTCCCTCTCTTACCCTACTGCCTCTTTGCAAGATTCTGCGTAACTACAGATGGGATACAGGAAAGACAGCTAAAATCATCCTCAATTACACACAATCCTGCCTGACTGCTCAGGCCACTGCTACTGTAGCTCTGCAGATCCTAAACCCAACTGGCAGCACTACCAGAACAGTTGGCAATGCACCACCATCACCTACAGATTGTCATCAACATGATCTGCCAAGATACTATTCCTGAATTAGCAGTTTCCGCTATATCCAAGCGGAATGATCATAACATTTGCTCAACTTCGGAAGCCTTTTCTACTCAATAGACATTTCACAGCTCCAAGGTCTGCAAGAGAATGAGAAGACAGAAGGAATATGCTTAGCAAACTGCTTGCTCACAGCTAAGAACAATTTTGATATAGACATGACTTATTTCAAAGCAGTATCTCACCGCCGTAGGATATGAACGGATACAAAGGCATACACCTAACTACACTTCAGCTTGGGTGCCCAGAAAAGCTGGTAGGAAAAAAGCTACTTACTGAAGATACTTACAGTTTCAAACACAGGTGACAGTCCCTCACTTCTAACATTTTTTACCTGGTTCTTTTTTAAGCAATAAAAGATCACCAGAAGACTGGCTAATATGAGTCAACAGTAGTTAGCTACAGTGACAGGTCAATATTTAATTACAGTGTAAAGCTGGTCTCATCTTGAATCCTTGATATTTTAAAGCTAAACAAGGATTATACAAAGCTCTCAAAAGTGGCTATTATATAGTTCGAATAAAATAGATTTTCCTTAACTTCTGGACTGAGAAGAGCCCAGTATAATGTACTTTAAAATGTGCTGTTGAAAAGCAACAAAAAAATCTGTAGAAATTCATGCTACTTGTTAATGAAACAGACTCCAAGTCGTCGAAAGAAAAGGATATGATGACTAAAGTGTCTTATTTGCTAGTCATCTATTCTATTGCTTTATCACAGGAAGCTAATCAGTTTTTGAAAAAACTGAAACCAGGTATCTAATACATAACAACCCATAAACCCATAGCTACAGAAGACTTTTACACTGTACTTATTTTTGGATGTATAGGTCAGATTTAAGATAACCCACGTTAACCCATTGATTACCTGCGGGACCTTCTACTTTTGCACACCTGCCGTCCTTGAAGTTCAAGCAAATGACTTCATCTGTGCAAGTAATAAGCAATTAAACACTCACTGGAGCACAGGTTGAATGTCTAGTAGCTTAAAGAAAGAAGAAATTAATATCTTGGTTGTGGTAATGACAGCATGAAGCTCTGGAACTACACTAGCATAATAGTAGGGACTCTTTAAACTATAATGCACTACCTCACTTAGTGTGTCATCACAGCTTCTCCACAGGACTACACTGTGAAACACATTAGAGACCTGGTTTAAAATTAATCTTTGCAAATTAAGACAAAAACAACCATTTTTGGTCTAGTCAATGCAGAACAAGGATCACTTCTGCAGCTAAAGTTGTCTTACTGTGCTGCAGAGGAGCACCACAATTGCTGATTGTGGTGCAGAGCATTTAAAATTGTAGTGAATGGTGGCATTTGCCAAATAAAGTGGTATAGCTCATTACTTATCCTCTAAGCTGACAGATATTCCTCAACACTATCCCCAGACCAGTAAGTCCCTATCTGAATATCTTGCAATCTCACTCAGAACTAGCAGCATAAACATATGTTTTTTTCCATATTCCCATAGTCATTGACATTTGCTGGAAACCAGGAGATTAAAGAGAATCTGCATACTTAACACTTCAAAAAGGTCTGTTCATACCACATAGGTGGCAGTTTCACAGCAACATCTGTCAGGTTTAGTTTCGGACAGCTACAACCCAATCTTTCAAGCCAATATTGAACTGAATTATAAGCACGGGCGTCCCATGGAGCATTCTCAGTTCTAAAGCAATAGGAAACCAAAACCACAGAAGAAGCTCACCACAAACATGGAGAGCTGACATGGCTCCACTGCAAAGAAAGCTTTCACCTCTCACTAACTGAGGAGGAGGAGAAAATGCAAGTCATGAGAACTCACACCTAGAAGCCATTCTTCACCTCTCCTCTTTGATCTACCTGCTGAATGGGAATCCAAAAGCCACAGACCAAGTTGGGACAGACTTTCTGCTATGTTTACTAGCTCAGCACTACTCTAAACACAAACAGAACTCAGGCAACATACTGAAGAAGCCATTAAGAATTAAATGGAAGAGCTAGGCAACATCATACAAAAAAAGAAAAAAATTCTAAACCCAACAGCTGAACAGCACCTATGGTAGGATATTTGAGGGCTTTAATCCTAAACAGGTGCAGCTGCATTACTAGCAGCAAATAACCTCATTCAGAGGAAGAGTAAAGAAGCCCTGAGCCTAAGACAGGCTAAGAAAGCACAAATTGTGTCAACAGAAAGCACTTCAGATCTCTAGTTTGTACAGTGTCAACAAATACCTGTATTTCTATAATGGCAAGGAAAGGGACAAGGAATTACATGACTTAAGTATCAATAATAAACTTATACTTCGAAATACAGGGTCCGTATTCCACCTGCATTTTTTACTCTCTCATAAAGACAATTCTCCTGCTGAGAATTTTAGTGTTATCAAGCCTGCTGAGCGAAAAGTTCTGCCACACAAAAGTTGTCCTGAGACAAGAATTACTCAGTCACCTCACTCCACAAAGGTGTTAAACTACGTTCCACATTGTTTAAACAGCTGACCATAATTAAAAGAAGCAACCACACAGCTCACACTGAATCAATTATCTTCCTTTATTGGGTAACACACTTTTTATATTCTTTGTTTTACATTCTCTCACCTATCTCAGCATCCAGTTTTACCTTCTGCACACTCGACCTTCATAAGCCTCCAGTTTTACTATTACCTTCCCTCCTCCAACAGCGAAGAGGTTGAGATCATACAGTTACAGTAGCTACAGATATCACTACTATTATACTACTCTGACCACAAAAAGCTGAGGCTAGTTTTTCCCGTTTACTTTACTGTTTGATTTTAAAAGTCATCTTTAGTTGTTATGTCTCTTCTATAAAGTTTCAAATAACCCTTTCAATTCCAGGGGTCTTAATGACACTTTCACCACCTTGATGGATCACTTCCAAATCATGACTCTAAAGGTCCAACATATCACTTACTTTTGGAAGAATCTTTCCTGAAAAAGTATATGAAATGCACTGATAAGCTGGATCATATGAAAGCATTTTGAGCAACAGCATGAAAATGATGCTCTTTTTGGTGTATTTTTTAAAACAATGCTTTTAAAGAGGAAAAGTGTCCTTCCATAATTTTCCTTTGAGTTATTCATCCTGAACTCACGAAGCTGGCACTCTAGGCAGTATTACGAGGACAAGGGCCAACTAAGCAAGCAGAATTTGAAAAGACTGGATTAGACTACTCTCCTTGAAGATGCTGTTGAAACAGGAGAATCTTAGAAATTTTTTTTGGTCATTCAGACAACTAATATCATATCTGAGCATGTCAGCATCTAGGAAAGCATCCACATTTGAAAAGACAATCTCAAATACTTCAATACTCTCAAAAACATATTTGGAATAATATTTAATTTTACCTTAAGTTACATAACTTAGAATGCTGTCAACTGTCTCATGCTGATCAGTCTGTACCTCTTACAGAAGAGGAGACCTTTTGTATTTCTTGTTAATTCATACTACAAAGCAACTAGCATGTTATACTGCAAAACAAAGTTTGAGTTTCAGAGGGGATAGATAGGATATACCAATATTTCAAAGTTTTTGTTTTTGTTGTTTGTTTTTAAGGATTTCAGGTGGCCAAAAATACTAAAAAAATACTAAACACTGACTGAAGAGGCTGCGGTTCCAAAGCATGACTCTTGGGGACCTGAAACCAGCATCTCAACAGGATCAAAACCCCTCTAAAGTCTTATCTGCTCATACCTGCACATTAGTCATCTGTCATACTGCAAAACAAAGTTTGAGTTTCAGAGGGGATAGATAGGATATACCAATATTTCGAAGTTTGTTGTTGTTGTTGTTTGTTTGTTTTTAAGGATTTCGGGTGGCCAAAAATACTAAAAAATACTAAACACTGACTGAGGAGGCTGCGGTTCCAAAGCATGACACTTGGGGACCTGAAACCAGTATCTCAACAGGATCAAAACCCCTTTAAAGTCTTATCTGCTCATACCTGCACATTAGTCATCTGTACATACTACATCAGAACATAACCTTAGAAGGTCACTGTTAGCCCAAACAGATAGAAATTAAACACAAATAGCACCACTATGGACGCATGACACTTGCAGTCATACCACAATACAATAACTTTTCATCACTGGGACATTGTTTTCATTTGTCTCGAGAATGATAGGCTGGATGCAGTACTGACAGAATTGTGCTGGAACAGTGAAGTACTTAAAAGACCCACCCATTTATGGCAAAAGAAGAAAAGTTAATGATTTTTTTCTTTTGTCTCACTGCTACACAAATTTCATCTGAGGAAAATCTGCCTGTAATTGCATTATCAAATGCCCTGAATTGAAACAGAGTGCACCTTAAACTGTCTACACTTGTCATGTCAATGATTGCAGCAATGTCAAAACAATAACTTTTAGCATCAAGGGACCCAGTTAAGGGAGCCTTAGCCCCCTTTCAGGTGCTGCAACACAAGCGCATTCAAACAAGAGAAATAAGCTGACAGGGATATAGCACTTCAAGAAGAGGCAAGAGCAAACAGGCGAACGGGACAAACTCTCACTTCCTTCGCTCGGCGCTCACGGGTCAGCCCAGGGCTCCCGTGACGCTCCGGCC